CCAGGACTCACTTAACAGAGTGCATCCCTACTCAGACGAGAACAGGTAATTTTCAGGATGACTTAACTTCCTTGACTGATTATTTTGGCGACAAAGTGATATTTTGCTGTGTTTCATAAAATTAAGGCTAATGATGAATCCATGTATAACATGTTATTTGATATTGAATGAAACAGCATTCTACTTCATTGCCCAAAATATTTATTCATGCTGACAATAGCTTCTATGCTAACTTTAAACATATGCATCTGTTAAAAATTGCGGATAGTATATGTACAATGCAAGGATTAGTTCACTTCACGGCCTGCTGAAACAGGATATGGAAAAGATCAGGAACATGGCCCCATGAATTCAGCAATGTCACACAGCTGTTTAGAACAGGAAGCAACGAAGAATGCCTTCATAATTGACACCGGACTTTGAGGTACACTGAGGAGGATGTTATTGCTCAGGCTGGCACTCAGCCAGGCCAGCAGCACTCTGTGCAAAGACAGCCGTCAGATTTTTAATGCTCAGCAAAGTCCAGACTCTGAGTTTGGCATCGAATCCTAAATATAAAAGGATGTCTTCCACCATGCATTGTCAGGGTATTCTCACAGAGACTAAGAACATAAAAACAAAACATTATTTGATATTTGATAAATCTGATTTCATTTTTAAAATGTTCCAATGTAATCAAAGTCCTCCAAGAGCAAACAAAAAGAAAATAATACCTTGTTCAAGATCATTATTTGAAATTTAAATCATTATATTCTTCTTAGAAAATGTGCTTGAAAATTTAATATAAAAATACTGGAAATAAAATCCAAGTTATAATTGTTGTCTGAGATCATTTTTTAACATCAATGTTTAAAAAAAATGTATTTGTTATGGACAAACAAAATAAAATTATATAGAGGTAAAAATGTTGATGAAAATAAAAATATATCTTTTAGCAAGCTTTTAGAAAAGGATCATTGATATTGTTCATGTTTCCACATTAGAAGAATAGACTTAACATCAGCCTTGATTGTTTCCACAAGATCTAAAGAAATTTATACAACCCTTTGATCATGTTTTCAGGGAAAATACAATTTTGTGGTCCAAAGGACCTACTTACGAAGTAAACATTTCACGTGCAAAAAAATATAAGAATCAGATACAGTACTAAAAATATAATAGACATTCTTTAAAATACATATTAAATGATACACCTTTGGTTTTGCTTAAATGCTTTAAGAAATGGGCAGTAAATACTTAAGGATACATACAATTAACAGGAGAAAGCAGAAGCAAACAAACACTTTTCAAGAGAGAGACCTTGAATACAGCAAAGAGAAGTGTCTGAGCATGGGGTGCTTCATGGACTCTAGACCCATGCAGTTGTACAGAAGGGACCCCAATTTGGGAGTTAATGGTTTGCAGTCACTGTCTTGAATTCTTAATATTTTCATCTTGAATATATTTGTTAAGAGAAGTCCAATGCAGCGATGGAGCATGCCTTCGGAGCTTGGACCCTGGACACATGCGTGGTCTTACCTCTTTCCTTCAGAGGAAGGGTTTTCTGCCACCCATTTTCCTACCCTGATGCCCCAGGTGCTACTCCAAAGCCCCCTCCCTGATCCTGTCCCACAGCTACTTTCTGGACCAGCAGGCAGCTTACACCATCTCCAAACACTCACAATGGGCCAGATGGCAGGTCTTAGCATACTTCTTATCCACTCCCAGGTCAAGTACCAACTGAGGCTGGGCAATGAGGTTTATTCACCCTTGGAAAATGCCTGTCTTCCAGAGCCTGCAACAGGGCAGCTTCCCATGAGAAGGAGAGATAGCTGATACAACTTTACTAAAGGCCTATTCCAAGAGAAGTCCTGATGGCACAGTGGTTACCCATACAGCTGCTAACCAAAAGGTCAGTAGTTCGAAACCAGCAGCTTCACAGTGGGAGAAGGACAGGGCTTTCTATTCCTGTAAACAGTAACAGTCACAGGGCAGTCCTACACAGTCCTCTAGGGTCACTGTGAGAGTCGGCAACAACTTGATGGCAGCGAGGTTGGGTTAAAGGCCCGCTCCAGCCTGGGAGCACACTTCTCTACAGTGGAAGCCTTGTGGCCAGAAACCAGGCTGCCCATTCAAGGCGGGAGGAAGCCCGCATGGGCAGGGACTGCAGATGCCTACGAAGGTATCTCCTTCTTGCACAGGTGCCCCTGTTCACAGACTCAGTGTCTGGGGTATTCTCCCTCCTACTGTCTAACCTTGTGAAGTTTGGCTCAAATGATCAGTGTGGATTTTTCTATTTTAAATAGTAAGTCATCTTTATATTCAGCCTTGACGATTTCAATGCCTGTGTCAGAACATGTAGCTTCTAGTGGAATATCTAAATGTGCCCTGGGCCTGTGCAATGTTCAAGCACTGCTTGAGACCCCCCCACCTGCTCAGAGGAAGAAAGATGTGGAACTCTGCCTTCCCCCGCCCAATAAGGTTTACTTGCCTTCTCATTATAATTCACTGGAAATAAAATAGTTAGGCACTATTATGATATAGACAAGTAATATCACAATAGGTATAAATGCCATTGACTCAACTCTGACTCATAGCAACAAAACAAAACAGAACAAAACCTGCCCCGTCTGGCACCATCCTCACAATTGAGTTGCTTGAGCCCATCAGTATAGTCATCGTGTCAATCCATCTCCCTGAGAATCTTCCTCTATTCTGAAGGATCCTCCACTTTACTAAGCATGATGTCCTTTTCCAGGGACTGGCCTCCCTTCATAACATGACCTTCTAAACAATATGATGCAGTGTTAATTTAATTCCTCTAGAAACATAACCAAGTTTTTTCATATGATATTAAATAATAGGGAAAGTAGAGAGTTCTACATATATTTTGATTGCAACTGTCTATAAAGATACAAATCTAAAAGGACAAATTCTGAGAGGTAACAATAGAATTGAAATTGGTATTGGTAGAGATATATTTCAAATGAATGCTTTGGTTTTATAATTTAAGAAGAAAGGGGCAGATTTCACTTGGTCGTATTCAATCTTTAGGTTGTATTTGTGAAATTTTGGTTGAGTGTGGTGGTTGATGTGTTTAGAATGGTCACTGAGAAAGCACAAAACTATTTCTCAGCATGCGGTAACTTGACAAGGGGAGCATTGACTTGAGCCACTGCCTACTACTGCTGAGAAGTGAAGTAGGGAAGGACTTACAGTCTAATCAAAGCAGTCATTGTCTGGATGTGGGTCCTGTTTCAGTCCTCTCACTTTAAGCTCTCACCTCTCCCTCTTGGCAATGCCATCTTCCTACTGTGAGTCTTGATAAGACAGACAAAGAATTCCTTTTCATTGGCTGAAAGGAAACACTCTTTAGACTTCTAATACCGAAATCCAACTACAGCCAAATTTTAATTTTCCCCTGCTGCTTATTATTGTTCTTTATCTCTCTACATGATTTTACAATGGTATGTGTCTATATTACATGTGCATTTGCCTTTCCATTGTCTTCTCATAAAAAGGATTAAAAGTATGATATCCAATACAATTATAAATATTCAATATGACACATCATCATTAATACTGGTTTTAAGTTTAAATACTTCTTCTAATATGAAGCAATTCCAAGCAGTTACCTTAGTTGACAACCAGAAGCATCCTAGATTTTAAAATTACCATACAGCAATTAAGTCCATTGATATATTCCAGTTTAAATCTTATACGTCATCTGGACATTTTCAAGGTTACACATTGTGCTGACACTTGATAATGACAAAGCATCTATATTTGACCTCTCCCACTTCCTCTCTTCACACTCTCCAACACGACTTTGTAGGAATTGCAAGGAAAGGTATTAGTATCCAAGCACCAAAAAGTTGGCATATATCCCAAACTCTTCAAAAACTATACCCCAGGATCAAGAGGCCTTTCTCTGGTATCATAGTGATCTGTCCACTCTTACCAATTGATATTACACACAAGGTTTCAAGTTCTCACCTCCAAGTTCCCGTGCTTCTCTACTTCACTTTGAACAACTTTCCTGTTAACTGATTATATCAAGCCTTCTCTTTAAAACCTGAACTCCTCAAGGCAGGGTTTTTTTTCCCCTTGTTGTGCACTCTGTACTTAAACAGAACACCATCATTACGGGAACCCATTAATAACTGCAGATAAGCTGCAAGAAGATTTAGTGCCAAGTGATATTCCAACCAACCTGAAAATCCGTTTGGATAGCTGCTGTCCAGACTACACACACACACACACACACACACACACAATCTATAAAGCCTAGATGAAAAGTGGTACATGAGTTTATATTGTTCACTCACATGGCCCACATTTATGCCAAATGCTTGACCGAAGAGGTAGTTTATTATTTTGGTTATGAAGTCAGACAGCAGAGAAAAATGTACCTGGCTTGGGATTAAGGAATTTCCACGTACTAGCTATACATATGTTTTCGTATGGGGGGTTAAAATGCCTTAATCTTAAGGACATTCAGCTTCCTCTTCAATAATGGAAATAATTATGACTACACACTGAAGGAAGGAATTTTGGTAGTGGAGCAGGCTGCTAACCACAAAATCGGCAGTTCAAAACACCAGCTGTTCCTTGGGAGAGAGATGAGACTTTCTGTTCCTTTAAAGCCTTACAGTCACAAAAATTCGTAGAAGAGATCTACTCTGTCCTCTCTGGCTGCTATGAGAGGAAATCGACTAGATGGCAGCGAGATACATAGAACTGACATGAGCGTGTTATGTTTACAGCACTGCAATAGATCTAACTCTTGCTATTGCTACTGTGCTGCTATCAGTAATGTTCACAACTAAATCAAAGACATCATATTAAGTACTATGATTGAATAGCTTAAATAAATAACTACTAGGATACAAGGGCTGATCTTAATCCGCAAGCTTACAAAAAATAGCATTCTCTTGTATCTATCACTACTTAAAATGATTCAATAAGTTTGAATTTGTATCCAAAAAAGCATTAGTAACTAAAGTACATTCTTTTTTTTTTTTTTTGACAGGAGAAAAGAATTTATTGAGTCCTCAGCCCTAGTTCTCCTTCTCCTGCACAGTCTTGGTTCCCCGGAGCCGCCCAGTCCGGCGAGCAGCAATGAGACCCACTTTGCGACCAGCAGGGGCATCCCTGCGGATAGTTGAGGGCTTGCCAATGTGCTGGTGGTTACCACCTCCAAAGGGATGCTCCACAGGGTTCATGGCCACACCCCGCACGCGAGGCCAGCAGTTCCTCTTGGCCTTATACTTGTGATAGGCACGACCAGCCTTCAGGATGGGCTTGTCTATGCGGCCACCACCGGCCACCACACCAACCACAGCTCTGTTGGCAGAGGAGATGACCTTCTTGGAGCCCGAGGGCAGCTTCACTCGGGTTTTCTTGGTCTCGGGGTTGTGGGAGATGACAGTGGCATAGTTTCCAGAGGCCCGCGCTAGCTTGCCTCGGTCTCCAGGCTTCTCCTCCAGACAGCACACGATGGTGCCCTCAGGCATGGTGCCCACAGGGAGAACATTGCCGATATTGAGCTGGGCCTTCTTGCCGCAGTACACGAACTGGCCGGTGTGCATGCCTTCAGCTGCGATGAACAGTTCTGTCCGTTTCTTGAACCGGTAGGGGTCTCTGAAGACCACCTTGGCGAGGGGCGCGCCGCGGCTCAGGTCATGGATAATGTCCTTCACTATGCCCTTGATGTAGCCGTGCCGCTCGGCGAAGTCCACGGCGCGCAGTCGCGCGGCGCCCTTACGATGCTTCACATACGTGCGGAACACAGAACCAGCGCCTTTCCTCTGTCCCCGGATGACGCGGCCCATGGCGGCAGTTCAGCTTTCAAGCACGGCCGAAAGAGGCTAAAGTACATTCTTAAAGAACCATGCTTGCCTTATATATTTGCCTTACATAAAATGAAAGGTCAATCTTTGATCATGTTTATATGAATTTTACATAATTAAAACTCTACTTTCTTGTCTTTGAAAATAATAAATATAATATCTCATCCTTTTCATCTAATCAAATCTTTATATTTTATACCATATTTGTTTTTTCATTTCAACATCTATATGTTGAAATATATATGCTCAAATGAAATTGAGGTAGCAATAGAATTCAACAAAAAGGGGGGGAGAAAGGATCTGGTTTAGGACTGCTAAGTTATAGTTTACATAAAAATAATATGATCAGCTCACTCTTCTCAAATTAATCTGGAAAAATATGTATCACTCCATCATTATTTATTTATGATGCCAGAAGGATCTTTGCTGAAATCAGAGAATATCAGAAAAACGTTTGTGTTTTATTGATTATACCACTTTTGACTGTGTATATCATAACAAGCTATGGATAACCTTTAGGAGAGTGAAAATTCCAGAAAACTTCATTGTAATCATTTGAAACTTGTTCATGGATCAAGAAGCAATTGTGTTAACAGAAAAAGGAATTATTGCATGGTTTAAAATCAGAAAGGTGTGTGTCAGGGTTGGATCCTCTCACCACACTTACTCAATATGTATGTGAGCAAATCATCAGAGAAGCTGACTTATATGAAGAAGAATGTGGCATCAGGATTGTAGGAAGACGTGTTAACAATTTTTTTTATGCAGATGACACAACCCGGAAGCACTCGCTGATGAAACCAAGCATTGCAGCCTCCAGCGTGGGTTACAACGCAATGTAAGTAAGACCCAAAGCCTCACAACTGGGCCAATAGGTAACATCATGATAAATGAAGAAAAGATGGAAGTTGTCAAGGATTTCATCTTCTTAGATCCACAGTTAAGGCTCTTGGAAGGAGCAGTATAGAAATCAAAACCTGCATTGCATTAGGTAAATCTGCTGCAAAAGACCTTTGAAAATCAAGGATGTTTCTTTGAGGACTAAGGTGCACCTGACCCCAAACCATAGTCTTTTCAATTGCCTCATATGCATGCTGGACATCGAATAAGGAAGACTGAAGAATCCATGTGTTTGAATTGGGGTGCTGGAGAAGAATACTGATGTACCACGGACTGCTAAAGGGACAAACCTGTCTGTCTTCAAAGAAGTGCAGCTAGAGTGCTCTTGAGAGCAAGGATGGCGAGATTTCGTCTTACATACTTCAGATATATTTTCAGGAGACAAGAGTCCCTGGAGAAGGATATCACGCTTGGGAAAGCAGAGTGGTCATGCAAACGAAGAAGGCCCTCAACAAGATGGATTTACCCAAGGCTGAAGCCAAGGACTCGGGCGTAGGGACAACTGTGAAGATGGCAGGGTTTCTGTGTGCTGTGCATTGGGTCACACTGGTCGGAATGGACTCAGTGGCATCTAAGAAGAACATGCATTTAATTGCATATTCAGTCTTCCAAACGAGATGATTATAGGCATTGTTAATTTCACCATCAGCACTTAGGCGATAACTCTCCCTGGTGATAATGGGGCTTCAGAAATAAGCCAGAAAACAACTTTGAAAATATACACGGAAATGAGTACCTTAAAATATTCACCATACCAGTTTATAAATAGAGCAAATAAGGTCAAACCCATAATTTTCTGTTTAATTTGTGAAATAGAAAATACATGTGTATGTGTAGGCATATGTGTATATATGCATAAACACATGAGGAAGCTTTCAAAGGTTAGTGTAAAATTGGAATTAAAAGATAATGGAATTGTTCCACACACCTTTCAAAGCTCCCTCATATATCTGTGTGTGGGTGCATGTGCATGTTTGATAAGTAAATGCCTACAGCAGAAATACATAAATTACCTAACTTAAAAGAAGTGACTATTTAAGTACAAAGTAATTTAGAGAATTAGAATTGTGATGCTTGGATAAGTTGGATAAAATCAATATGGTAATCTGGAAAATACTTAAGAAACACTAGGTTATCAAAAAATCTTTTCTTTTATAACAAGTGTGCTGTTTCATCCTGAAAACATTAGAGAAAGAGTAAGCACTCAATTCACAGAACTTGTGGAGTTGCTCACACATGGTCCCTAAGGACACCTATGAATCTCACTGCGGGAGTTCAGTCACAAAGGCCAAAGGGAGACGGTGTCCTGGAGTCCGTGTTTAAAAAAAAAAAAGAATGATTGAAAACTGATTGAGGTAGTAATTATACAATTCTGCTTGACATGATTGAACTGTGGAATGATGAGTTCTGTGTATTAAATCCCAACTAAGAAATGGAAAGTTTTCCAAAAGAACACACAAACAAAGAGACGGAGATGGAAGCACGGAAGAATTCAAGCCATTAAAAGTAAACTCAAATGAAGTTCCTAATGAAGCAGCACACTCTGCCAAAGAGAACCATGAAGATCTTTTCTGAAAAACACACTTACTTTGAGACTTAACTCAACTGATAACTTTCCAGCATTCCTTGGTAAGTAGGCACTGTGCTTGAAGGTCAGTCCTATGCATAAAGCTGCGCACTCGAAATCTAATGAGAACATGCACATGGTAGCTCAGTTACGATATGCACTTGTGCTGTCGCTAGTTGCCACAATGTCGGCTCCCACTCGTAGTGTAGACGGGGACTACAGTCATCTTCTGCTGTTCTGTTTGAGTCCATTATGTCAGTCCATCTGATTAAGGTTTCCTCATTGGGCCTCTCCTTTCCCAAGCATAATGGTCTTTTTATTCTGGAAATATTAGCCCATTGATTGAATTTAGTACTATTTTTAAACTGAGATGGTTGGTTCAGATGATAGGGAAGAATGTTTAGAAGGTATGCTTTGATGAAGAACTAGAAGAGAGCAATTCTTAAAATGACCCAGTGCCTCTTATCTGGGTGGTGCCTGGGAACCAATGTGGAGGACATGGGCACGATTCCTCTCATCATGGAAAGCAGAATCTTAAGAAAGAGAGTGAAACAAGCAAGAAGAGAAAAAGAAACCAACTGAAATAAGTGCAAAGGGTAGAAATAAACAAGGTACTAGGGCAGAAATTAGGGGGGAAAGTGCTTAATCTTACAGAAATGCGGGGAACTTGTGTGGAGTGCATGTCATAATTATTTATTTCACTGTGCTGATGCTCTCTTTGTTTCACTTTATAGAAGCTCTTTATACACTAAGTAAATTATAATTTGTCAGTAATATAAGTTGCAAAATGTTTGTGTTATATTAGTTTTTTGATGTCTGTGATAGCAGTTTGGACCACATAAAACATTTTTTGTTTTATATAGTAACAAAAATTTATTAATAGTTTTCTTACGGATCCTGTTTTTACCATAGTGGAAAGCCTTCTTCATGTTGAAGTTATAAAGCATTTTCCAAGGATTTATTCTGGAATATTTATGATTTATGTTTTAGATTTACATCCTTGATCCATTTGGCATAAAGTATGAGGTATGAACCCATTATTTTCCAGATGGCTTCTGCATTGACTTATTATTATTTATTGAAAAATTATTCTCCTCCTTCATAGTACATGCTGCTATATTCACATAATGTGTTCCAGATTCTATTTCATTCATCTCTCCCTCCATGCACCAGAAACAAATTATATTAATAAGTGACGCTCAATAATATCTTTTAATATCTGGTAAAGTTAGCTCCTCATGATTACTCTCCCTCTGCTGAATTTCCTTAGCTTTGTGCTTGAATATTTCCATCTCAACGTTAGATCAGCCTTTCTAGATTCAAAAATATCCTGAATGTCATGTTAAATTTATTGAATAAATTAGGAAAAATTTACTAGTTATTGAAACATTCCATGGTGTACCATTCCAATTATTGAAGTGTTTTTGGATAAACTTTAAGTTAGAAATAGAGGAAAGAACTAGGCAACAAAGGAAGTTGATAAAGGTCTAAATACAGTCATGTATATACGTATATGTATCTAAATATAATGATAGGGATATACGTCTATGTACATATATTTATAGGTTTTAGTATTAAGGTAGCAGACAGACCTTGGGCCTCGACGCAAGTACTCTCTCAACGCAAGAACACTTTGTTCGAATAACCCAGCATTCTGTGATGCTCACCTTCCAGACATGATCACTGAACACAAAATGGGTGCATAAGCAAACGTGGTGAAGAAAGCTGGTGGTGCCTGGCTATCAAAAGATATAGCATCTGGAGTCTTAAAGTCTTGATGATAAACAAGCAGCCATCTAGCTGAGAAGCAAGCAAACCACATGGAAGAAGCACACTAGCCTGAGTGATCATAAGGTGTCGATGGTATCAGGTATCAGGCATCAAAGACCAGAAGAAAAATTCCTATCGATGTGAATGATGGAGAGGGTGGAGTGGAGACCCAAAGCCCATCTGTAGACAATTAGATATCCCCTCACAGAAGGGTCACAAGGAAAAGACAAGCCAGTCAGGGTGCAGTACAGCACAGACAAACATACAACTTTCCTCAAGCAACGTACACTGATAGAGATAAGAGATCACAACACAGGGACTCCAGGACAGATAAACCCCTCAAATCTATTTTATATAACCCCCTCCCAGGGGAACGAACAACAGAAAAGGGGATGAAAGAACATGTTTTGAAAATGATGATGGCAAAATATTCACAAATGTTCTTGACACAACAGATGGATGTATGGATTGTGATAAGAGTTGTAAGAGTCCCCAATAAAATGATTTTTTTAATTAAAAATAAAATAAAATAAATATTTGTTTTATCCTTTTGTTGCATTTTTGTTTTATTTTGTTTTTATCTAAAAGCTTGTGCTATTTTGTTTACTGCTAGTTATTCTGCTTTTATGTTGATATTTTAAATTGGAGTCTTACTCCCATTATATCTTTAATTCAGTCTGGTTTTGTGTATCTAAAACTATTGGCTTCTACTGATTCTTACCTGATGCTTAATTCTTGTACTGTTTGTAAATTAAATGCTTTAGG